TGTCTTGTGCAAGTTGGATATTAAGGACTTCCACATTCCTTGTTCTGTTGCCTACCACACTGCCACATTATAATCCCAACCCTTGTTTGCCACTGCAAACCTTTTTTTCGTCATTTGTATGCAGGTGTCAAGTCTTATCTACGAGCGGGTGCAAGAAGAAGGGCTACAGTTTGACTCGGTGTGTGGCGTCCCGTACACAGCCCTCCCTTTGGCCACAATCATCTGCTCTAGACATGAGCTGCCCATGCTCATCAGGCGGAAGGAGGCCAAGGACTATGGTGGGTGGCTTTATATATTAAATATTGACCTTGGATTTGTTAGTAAAGCTTGAGAAATAACAGGAATGACATTGTAAGTAGGGAATTTCCATTTTAAAAAAGCAATGACAATCTGTCCTTTAAATATGACAAGATCCATTTTCATTATGATTTTCACCCATTATAATCCCTTTAATCTTTATGGCTTGACATGTTCACTTATGGCACACTTTTGGCCACACGTGATAAGATAGCAGGTCTTATCTGTCAAACAGCTATTGTTAGGTCTCGTCATAGGGCAAACATGTTTAAAAGTTAACCCTTTAAAAGACAGGACAGGAGCAGTTTCCACAGTCTCGATTGGGAGGAGGTCCTGAAAGTTTCTCACTCCCCTAAGACAGTCTGTACATGCTTATGCGGTTGAAGCATACTTGTGTGTCAGCTGCATCAGAAACCTTTGCTCCACTAACAATTGATTCTCGCCAAGGCCTTGAATCAGAGTAAAAGGGATACAATAGTCAGTTTGCCTCGAATAGGAACTGAGATTATGTAACCCTTCTAGGAACCAAGCGTCTGGTGGAGGGCTCGTTTCGTGAGGGAGATACATGTCTGATCATTGAGGACACAGTGACCAGTGGCAGCAGCATCCTGGAGACGGCAGAAGTGCTCTACAAAGGGGGACTGAAGGTGCAGTATCATAATAAAACAGGGATTATTTGTTTAAATGATCACTGTAAAGGTTGTAGAAGGTTGTCAAGTGCAGTAGTAATGAATAACCAACCTAAACCTGGCCACAGTGGGTGTAAGTGTGTTTTTCTGTATTTGTTCTAGGTGACCGATGCCATAGTACTAATGGACAGAGAGCAAGGCGGCGTAGAGATGTTGGCTTCTCAGGGAATCAAGCTGCATCCCATCATCTCCATGTTCAAGCTGCTCAACGTGCTGCTGGCAGCCGAACGCATCGACGCCCAAACCGCCCAGAGTGTCCGCAAGTTCATCTTAGACAACAACACTTTCAGGTACAAGACGGCAGTTATAGTTAGTGTTATTGTCGGAGAATGTGAGCTCAACATCCCTCCTCGCTCGACTCAGATTTCAACCCCAGTCTTGAACTCTTTCAGCCCCAGGGAGGAGAATGGCAACGGTGTTCCTGCCACCAAGAAGCAATGTGTGGAACAGGAGCTGAGCTACGCAGACAGAGCCAAACTACCAAGTATGTAGCCTTCCAACTTAGTCAAATGGCTAGTAAGTTTGCATCCAACTTTAAAATGTTACGCTAGTTAATGTTGAAATGGAAGTTCTTCCATCCAGTCTCTCCCTCCTCTTATCTGCAGACGTTCACCCTCTGGCGGCAAAGCTGCTGACGATCATGGAGGAGAAGCAGTCTAACCTGTGTGTGTCCGCTGACGTGACGAGCAGCGAGGAGCTTCTTCAACTGGCAGACTCCCTAGGTCCGAACATCTGCGTGCTGAAGACCCACGTGGACATCCTGAAGGTTGGCGTGAAACCAGTCCCTGTTTTTATTTTACCAGAAGAATGTGGTCGGGCAAATAATCGAATGTCATTGTCGTGTCTGCTAACAGGACTACACAGCGACCTTCAGCCAGAAACTGCAGTCTTTGGCTGAGAAACACAACTTCCTCATCTTTGAAGATCGCAAGTTTGCTGACATCGGGAACACAGTCAAGCATCAGTACGAAGGTGAGAAGATTTGGCTTATGTATGAAATACACCTGTCTTCAAAATGACTTTTCAAATGGATGTCCTGTTGATGTTTTAAGTAGCTTAACAGTGTGCTCATGTATCCATTTCCCAGGTGGTTTGTACCAGATCTCCTCGTGGTCCCACATAGTGAATGCCCATGCGGTGCCGGGGCCAGGGGTTGTGAAGGGTCTCAGTGCTGTAGGAAAGCCTCTGGGCCGAGGCTGTTTGCTCATTGCACAGATGAGCTCCCAGGGGTCACTGGCTACTGGTGAATACACAAAGGCTGTGGTAAGCATGTCTCTGCATTTTCTAAGTTTGTATTACATTACGATATGTGTAACACATCATTTAGGGTTCCGGTTTACAGCTGTTTATCTCTGTTATCTGTCTTTGCAGCTGAATATGGCGGAGGAGCAGCTAGACTTTGTGATTGGGTTTATTTGTGGCTCTAAGATCAGCAAGAGGCCCGAGTTCATCCACATGACCCCTGGGGTGCAGATGCAGGCTGGAGGTAAACTTAACTGCGTTTTGATTAGATTACATTAGTCATTTCTTTGCTATTTACATCCACAAGTTTATATTTGCATGTAATTAAAAGGAATCTGTGAAATTGAAGAGAAACTCCACCCTATTAAACTTATACATATTTGTATTGTTATGAAACTGTGATGTTAATGAGTTTATAAGTAGATTTTAGCATTTTATGCATTTTATGTTTAAATATGCTTTCTGGGGTACCTAATAATAAAAGAAATGCACCATTTCAGCAAAGTTAAACCCAGGGTGGAAAATTTACTTTTAAAAATGTGAACATCCAGCAGCCACTGAAAATGTTGAAATTCACGAGGCACTCGGTAGTAAATCACTATTTTCTGTCTGAAATCTAGCAGCTACTTTTATATTTGACCACCATTTATATATTCATGTGTGTATGTATATAAAGGGATACAATTCCACACACTGTTTATTTGATGACGTATTATTCCAGCAGGTGATTTATGTTGGATGCCTTAAAGGCTGCAAAAAGCTCTAAATAACTGACTTTTCACTATGCTCTCTTCTTGGTGTTGTGACCTGTCTTCACCACAAGGAGGCACTGTAGTACAGGGAATGATTGCCGGAGCTGCTATCAGCAGTCCTCCTCTCTGACCTCCCCCTTTCTCCCACCCCTCTGTGTGTCTCCCTCTCTTACAGGTGATGCGTTGGGCCAGCAGTACGCCACTCCGGAGGAAGTCCTCTGCAACAAAGGCTCTGATGTCATCATTGTCGGTCGGGGTATCCTGGAGGCCCCTGATAGGCTGAAAGCTGCTGAGTCATACAGAAAGTCAGGCTGGGAGGCGTACACAAAGAGACTGGGTCGGAGCGGCCAATAGGAGCTCAGTAGCGGCACCTACGTCATTACGCCTAATTCCAAATTAAAAATAACGACCTCTGCAGATGAACTGGAAGTTTTTTGGAAGTATATTTTTACATTTTCGTGGAACACAAGTGTGCACGTAATCATATACATAGAAACGTATGTAGACCCGTGCGTCTGCAAACCTCACTGCCGCATCAAAATGCACACCTGTTCCTACACAACCAGTTTATTAACATTGGTACCAGTTGTTGGGGAATTGGACACTTTACTTAACGTATGTAAATGTGTTCTTTTGATTCTGTCCTATTAATAAGCAGCTTCAAATGTGTTCCTCTGATTCCTTCCTATTAAGAAGCACAACTTTCAAGTCCATCTGCTATGGTACTTCTGACCAGGTTTAAACATCTTTGGGAAAAGGTTTTAGTATTCCTTTAATAATGCGTTCGTTCCTCCTGCCCGAGTCAAACTGCGCAGAGTTTGAGGATATGTCGCTGATTACCTAGAACAGATAGTTTTTTTGTAAATGAGGTGGCTGCTAGACTCCCCTGAGGATTTGTTTGTTTCAGGAAGAACACAAAATGTCATTCCCTTGACAAAGACTAGTGCCTCCAGTCAAGGTGAAGCTTTTTCTTCAACACAAACCTTCCATTCCTGTGTACGCTTTCATATAATTGCTGTAATGCTAGACCCAAGTTTTAGTATTAATAAGAGAGGGTGTGGCTTATACTTTTTAAATCGTTGTATTCTACTTGGGTTGAAATTCAGGGTATTTTACAGTACACTAGAAGATCTTTTGTTATTTGAGTTGCCCAATCTGGATCTTAAGCATCACTTTTCACAAGATGCAGATATGTTGATGACTGCAAGACGGTCTCTCTCTCTCCTCCGAACCCTGACAAGTCTCTGCTAGTCACAACTTCACAAAGTATCAGTGTTAAATTGATTTAAACTCATATGTTCAGTGGAAGTGGAAGAGCTTGGTCATTCACGGTTTAGTAATGGACAATAATGTTTTGGCTGTGGTGCTGATTTGACTGTTTAACACTTAATATTATGAACTTCATAGGTCAACTACGAAATCAAAATGATGGCTTTTGATTTGCCTGATTGATTGCAACACCCCAAAGAGAATATAAAAAAAATCATGGACCATTTGAACAGTGATCAGCCTGTGTCATATTTATTTTTTCATCAGCAGCAGTTGATTATTAGTTTGGATGTGCGTCAGCGTGTAGCCCCTCATTATTTAAAATGACAAGATGAGGGAATGCTGATTGCAACCAGATTGGTCTTTTAAAGCCGTCGTGATTGAGTCCAATGTCTGCCGTCCAATATATATTATTTTCTTACAGGGATATAAGTTCAGTTATAATTTGACATTATCAGTGAGCCCACAGACCCAGTCTACAGGTTGTTGCTGTTTATTTACCGTCTCTACAAAAAGAGTTAATAAACAAGTTTTCTTTAGACAAGAGATAATCTCTTCCAGTTTGTGACACCTCCCTTTTTAAAGTAGACAACAGTTGAATTTTGTAAACCGTGCCCTGGAGCCATGACAGTTGTGCTACTACTACTTGGCCTACATGCAGTGAAACAGCTCCATGGTATTCTTGATGGCAGTGTTAATGGATGAATGTGAAGTTTCTTCTCTTACAGAGATGTTGTTTGGCTTTTTCCCTCCATGTACTTTTCATTTGTGAGTAAAAGAAAAAATGCAATATCTTGTTTTGTAAAGTCAGACTAAATACTTCAATAAATCTTGTGTTGAAAAACTACGTTTAATGTGTATCCCACTGTACAACATGGGGACTTACTGTATGTAGATCTACATAACACTAATAGTTTGGAGTTTTAAACAAAGAATTAAGATGTTTTTGGATATTTGTTGCTCTACCTTTTGCAGATTGTCTATTCTCAAATTAGACTAAAATGCTGCTACTCAATTTACAATCAAGTGTTATAGTTTACAAATACAGCACATATTGAAATGTTACATTCAAATGTTTTTATCAGCTTCCTTTTTAAAAATGTTGTAAGATATGCATTACCCAGGATTTGTTCCACTGCTATGCCATTTACGAGGTTTATTTACTGAATTTCAAAATGAGAATGTAGTCCTAATGAAAAACAATCAACCATGGAAATAATAAGTGGTTATTCTTGTATAATATTGGAGACTCTTTCCAACTTAATTTTAGATCACTTGGTAGTTTTCCTTTTATCTTATTTTACTTTTCTTGTGTGACTTGTATAACTAAAACTCCATAAAAGATCATTATGAATAAAAACACTTTTAGACAGAATTCCACTTATCAAAAAAACATGAATCTTGAGGGTCTGTAGTTTGTTGTGATCTTAAGATTTCTGGGATATATGGTTGAATTCAATATAAAAATATGAATAAAGATATCTTGTTGGTTTTTATTTACTGTGTCTATAATTAAATATGGCAAATGTATGCAGGCTTGTGTATTAAGTAGTCAGAAAACATGTTTAATGCAGTAACATATGTGAAGAGGACAGTGGTTAATTGTTAGTTAACAAATGTATGTATTTTTTTATGAACAATGTATCTAAGATCTATAAAACTACTGGTAAATGTTTTTCTATGTTAACTGTTCTATTTCCCAAATCTTGACAAAAATGTATTTCTCGTTCCATAGTCTGTCTTCTATCTCTTGTTTCAATTATTTAGTTTTTAACTGAAAATTGAAGCAGCAGTGGCTGAAATATTGTGACTTTTAGTCCAGAGTATTAGTCAGCCTTGGAACCTACAATTCCCATAATGCAACTCAGTATACTCTTTTATTACAATTATTAAATGCTCTCATCTTTCAAACTCCATTTCTCCTTTCAGTTTTATATATGCCTTAAAATAACCCCATTACATCATTAGGGTTCTTTGTCAGACACATTTAATTTTCTTTCAGAAGCTGAGTAGCACGAATCATTAATAGTAAACTGAGTTTTTTGTGTCATATTTTAGGAGTGTTCCTTTAATTTAAAGACAGTAAGTTTGCAACCAAAGAAGTTCAACCCACAGAGCAGTAACAAGATCCCTGATTGGCCCGCCATCATTGTCCAAGTTGTATGAAACAACTTCTGTTGTTTTAATAATTTTAAAAATTCCAATAGTTTTCTATATTAGCGATTTATAAATGCATGCACATTGTATTACCTTATTATAAAATAACACAACATTTTAAAATTTAGAACAATTATTTGCTTTTATATCCAACAACAACAAAAAGGATGATCATCTTATTTCCTGTTTGGGGAGATGTATATGTTTATACACATCAATGTTTCAAGTCTCGGGGTGGATTTTCACTTTGGTGGTAGATCTAGTTTGAGCATTTTTTCCCACAACACCAGGAAGATTCAACAGTCAGCTTTCCCCCAAAGTTGTCGGGCAAGGTGAGCTACCCAGCAGCAGAAAGTCATTTGCAAGGCATATAATATGGAAATGTTGCCCACACAGGCTCTGAATAGGACAAATGTAGTCGGCAGGTAGCTACGCTACAATGCGCCTTTTTACAGAGCAACGCAGGCACAAAGGTCAGACACGTTGCCTGGCATACAGGAGGAAGAGGGAGGGGGCTTTTTTAGACTTGAGGGAAAGGGTTGGTAAGAATAATTCATTTCGTATGTGTGTGTGTGTGCTTGTGCACGCACCCCTCCCCCTTTATGTCAATATTGGATCAGAGCAACGCACCGTGCGACAGGTGTCTGTGCGCGCCCTGAGGATCTTCTCTGTCGTTTACATCCATGAGGGGTGGGGAGGGCATGAGGGGTGGAGAGTGAGAGAGAGAGAGAGTAAGAGACAGAGAGAGAGCATGTAGAGGTATAAAAGGTGTATACCTGTCACAAGCAGCACACATTCAGTGCGCGTAAAAGGTGCGCCAAACTTGACCATGCTTGCACATTTTGGCCTTTGTTGCTTCGCTTCTTCTAAAGGTAGGCTGTGAGGCTTTTCATTCCGTTTTTATTTCCTTAGTATCCATCCTTACAAAGGTGTTCATTTTCTTGGTGTTCTAACTTTTCTAAATGTTCCTCCAAAGGTTACCTGACAACAGAGAAGCCAGCTGTTAGGCGATCACCGCCTCTCTCTCTCCGGAGCATCGTCCCACTGTGATCGCTTTTTGTGACTTTTTCATGTCTGTATTTGCTTCACGTTGAGCCTCACGTACAATACCTGAAGATGAAGTTTTGTTCGTTCGGCTCGCGTTATGCAGGTACGGGTAGGCAACGGGAAAAGACACAAAGTTTGTTTTTCATCACGGGAGCATCACTGTTGCATCACTATTGTTAACACTGTCAAGCCTTATTTCATGCAAATAATGGGATGTTGTTTTTGGTTGGGTTGTTTTAAAAGATTGCCCGGTGAAATTTGTTTTAATGGGGTTCAAGGGAGCCAAATGGGTAGGGCCAGATATTGCAGCCATACTGCACCACAAGTAACCCAATTATTGTAATGAAAATCTATAAGACAAAAATGTATAAGACATTTTTAAGAAAATATATTCAGCCACGAAGTCATGGCCATTGCTCTACCTAAGAAGACTTCAGAACAACATAGTTTCAGTAACTGAAGCACCAGGTGTACAGAACTAAACTGAATAGTTTGCCTTATTTGCATACAGCTGGCAACAGGCTCTAAAGAAAGCCATGTCAGCTTTGGACAACATGTTGCCTGACTACTGGAGTCACACTCATTTATCCAAAGGTGAACTGAAAAAGAAAGAGAGAAAAAAAAAACTAATAGAAAAGTAATTTCTCAACACATTTGACTCAATTAAAGATTCTTTGTTACATTTTGCTGAATAGGTGTCGAGCAAAGGAAAGCAAAGGCAAGGTTACAGCTGGTGAATTCGGTTGACGGAATTAGTTATTCGGGTAATCAAGGCAGAAAGTTCATAGATTAAAAGTTCCAGCTTGAAACCAATTTTCCTGTTTATTATGTATCCCAGTCTCACATCAATCCATAAATTCATGTAAAACACGCTCGCTTATAGCTGACACACCTGTCTGCTGCAGGTCAGTAATATAACTGCAAACAAGACTTTGATAAACCTGATATTAGCAAAGTGTCCAAATGATGGTCACTCACTGTTTTTAGTCAGTGGTTGTACTCGTCTGTATGTGCTTGCTTACCCCTGGATGATATGATGTCCTATGTACTGAAAAGGCTGACATTTACAATGCTAGGGATGATAATCTCTGTATCTCCCTTGCTTTTTTGATAATCATTTTCCCATTGGCACATTCATGATGACAGCGTGTATTTTCCACTGTGGGCCTATTCATTACTGTCCATCTCCTACGTCATGAACTGAGGCTGCAGGCAAGCACCGGGGAGAAGAGAGATGGGCTTAATGGGAGGTTATGTTAATCATTAACTAAACATTAACCACACACACACACCAGACGTCTGATATGGGCCATCTGTCATTTGAATGCTATAAGGCAGCATTCAGCCATCACTCTTTTACCATCCATTATATGTTTTGTTCCATATGTTTAAGAGTATCTCTGCCTTTCAGTTATTTAGTGTGTTATTTAAATGTTCACTGGTGTGTGTTTTTAAATTCAGTTCTCTGATGAAGTGAGACAATAAATTGATGAAGCCAGTATGGCAACTGTACTATTCTGCCTTACTAAACTGCTCTTTTGCAATCCCTGTTCCAACTGATTAAATTCATTCGAAAGCAGTGCTGAAGCGGCGCCATTTTCAATTTGTAGAAAGACATCCAGCCTAACATACAGTGCTAAAACACATGCATACACCATATATTGTTACAGAATACAATCCCTGACCAATTTAGCCACTGACTAATTGTTTATTAATTATTAAATTTATATGAAAAAGAAAGATATCTACTAAAGATTATGTTCAAATAAAAGTGTTATGAAAAATGTACATATGAGCCAAGTAAAACAAAACCATGCTCATTTTTCACATTTATACAAGTAAAATATGTTTTGTGTGGTGCCTCTGTAGCATTTGGATCTCTCTGAAAATAACTTAGTTTACAGCAGGACAGCATTTCTGCCCCAAGCTGAAGTCTGATTTACATATCTTTACTTTTTTACTTTTGGTCCCTTCTGCAGTTTATTCCCTTTACATTGTGTTTGTCTCCCTAGTAAATCCCCATCAGTTTTTATTATCTCAAAAACAAAATTCATGTAGGTATCATCATCTTACAAAAGACATTATGTTGAAGCCTGTCTTACATGTCATTCTTTACCTGAGAGCCTATTTGCCTCTGCTTTAAGCTCTAGTCAATATTTGTTTAAAGCCAGATGAGGGAAAGCTCACACTCCTCAGTATCCTGGTTACCTCGTCCTGATTTAAACCAACTGTCCCAACTGGTCCTGCTGTTGCTACACCCTTCCAAGCAGCTCCAGGAGCATTATTAGTATTCAGGTTATTTGTATTTAACGTGGAGGCTTAAAGTCGAAATGTTATTATTGGGAATAACAACAAAAACCTCTGCAACAGGTGGAAAATGTTGAATTCTGTGTAGTACTGACAATTCAAAGCAAAATGAGACAACTGAAAAACTTTTAATGAGGCCAGATGATGTGTGTTTTCACTGCAAAAACATTGTGTGCTTACATTGGTGATAAAGTCTTTTTGTCTACATGACTAATTTAGTCTGTCACTGCAGAAACTGTGCTTTTTATTATTGTAATGGACACCCAGTAGGAAATAACCCTGTAGGTCATGTTGGGATTCAGGAACATGCAATATAAAGTACATGTTATAATT